AATTGACCCTTATGACTGGTTTTGTGGTCCAGGGTCACAAATGTTCTTCACACTAAAATGGTTCTTTTAAGAACTGTTCACTGAAAGGTTTTTTGGGGAACCCATAATGGTTCTTTTGCTGTGAACCCCCCGCACCCCCTTTTGGGACCTTTATCTTTAAGAGTGTACCATTTGGAAATGTTTTTTTTTTTAAGTATGTTTAAAAATATACTTATATAATAAAATATATCTGAAACAAATGTCACATGGCTGTGTCTTTTTTGCAAAAATTAAGCACCGAGACATTTTTCAAAATATTTTCTTTTATATTCCACTGAAGAAAGAAAAGTCATAGAGGTCTGGAACAACATAAGGGTGAGTAAATAAAATTAAATTTAAATTTCTCAAACTGTCCCTGTCTAGTTCAAAGAACTATCTGCTATTGTATTTTAACAATGTTATAACGAATACCAGAAAGTGGTTGAAGACTTGCAGCTAGATTACTGCATGTCATCATATCCCACTCTGACCCAAAAACGCTCCATGTGAACCCTAAAGATAAAGAGTGAGAGCAGAGACAGATCAGCAGGCCCCAGAAATTACCTCAGTCTTACCGAGAATTAGGACTAAAAGAGAGAGAGTGTGTGTGTGAGGGCTTGAAGTACAGCTTGTAATGGACTTTCTCTGCCTGCAAACATGTCTGTTCTTTAGATACAAAAGATACACTGTATGTTATGTGATATACAGTGGAGACAGCCAGTTGAGATTAACAGCATTTATTAACAAAGACATTACATATTAGCTCTGATCCAAAACGTGACTGCCGATCCTAACAGCAGATAGGACAATTATGCTGCTGTCTAAAATGTTAGATTCACAAATGCATTGCACTGGGCTCAAAGTTCAAAACCACGCATTAGAAAACAGAAAAGTGTCTCAAGGGGTTGGAACTGGGCTGTTTTAAAATGCCTTGAAAGGAATCATTAACCATAAAAGGTAAGTTATAAAAAGCATTTAGTGTACCAACAAGTTTGTGCAAATTACAAGATATATAGTCATTGTCTGGATTCCTAACATAGTTGAATAAGGAAGATCCTCTAAGTGTGACTGAACAGAATGAGATAGGATCACAAAAGCTCACTGGCATTGGTTTTCATGTGTTTCTATAGAGTCTGTCCTATTTGAGCGTTTGTAATGAAGCTTTCATCTGGCTCCTCCTCCAGCTCATCGTAACGTCCAAGATAGAAAGCACTTCAGACGGTTCACTGTGGCCACTGCTACCATGTCTGTTTTTAGTGAGGACGCTGGAAAGGTTAAGAGGGCCATGAAGATAACTTCAAAACATGACAGTGTCAAGGGTAGAGAGCTACTGTAAAGTCAGCTGTTGTAGTGTTTGTTCTCAAAACAGCTGTCTGTCCCTCTGTTATTATCTGCCATCTTGCGCACACACACACTTCCAGCAGGAAAGGTTCACAGCCACTTAGGAACCTAGTTGCAAATCCTCATACTCTCTTTAAGCTAGTTACTAAACAGACTTAAACTAAACGTGCTCTAACTACAGATTCCAACATTTTAAGAGGATGTGATGCTCAGAAATAGTGAGGAGTGTCACTCCAGTCAAGTGTTATATACAGGCTGCTAAAGTTAACAATATAACACCGCCGCAGTGAACTTTCACCCACTTTTCCACCCTTAAGCTAAGGCGAAGACACCTGCCAAACAAGCCTATGCCGCTCGAGCTTTAAGAGAGGAAATAGCTGGGAAACAATGACGTATGCAGAGGTGGAAGCACAGACAGAGAGCTTTCAAGAAACTGATGTTTGATGCGTTGTGAATTTTCTGCAGCAATAGTGGTTTCCAAACAGGTTTTCCACCCCACCACAAAGTCACGCTATTGGTTGAGTCACAAGTTGACATTGCTTAAAGAAACAGATCAATGTTGTGAAAGAAACAAGGAATTGAAAAACAACATTTTGAAAAATCTTGGGGGGCATTCTGGGAAATGAAGTGTTTTTTACATTTACATTTACATTTAGTCATTTAGCAGACGCTTTTATCCAAAGCGACTTACAATTGGGGGATACATAAAGCGATTCTTCTTAAAGAGGCAAACAGACACAGAAAGTGGTTGTAATACCAAGTTCTTAGACATTGTTCAAATAAGTACAAGCTAGAAAGAGAAGGAATAAATAAAGAGAGAGTTTTTTTTGTTTTTTTGTTTTTTTTTATGATGAAGTCAAGTAGCTTCGAAAGAGATGGGTTTTCAGCTGTCGCTTGAAAATTGTCAGGGATTCAGCATTCCGGATAGGGGTGGGAAGATCATTCCACCAGCCAGGAATGGTGAACGAGAATGTTCTGGAGAGTGATTTTGAGCCTCTCTGTGATGGTACCACGAGGCGTCGCTCACTAGCGGATCTCAGACTTCTGAAGGGGATGTAGATTCGTAGTAGTGAGTGGAAGTAGGCGGGTGCTGAGTCTGTGGCTGTTCTATATGCAAGCATCAATGTCTTGAACTTGATTCGAGCCGCGACCGGTAGCCAGTGCAAGGAGATAAAGAGAGGTGTAACATGGGCTCTTTTGGGCTCGTTGAAGACCAGTCGTACCGCTGCATTCTGAATCATTTGTAGAGGTTTGATTGTGCTTGATGGAAGTCCAGCCAGAAGAGCATTGCAGTAGTCCAGCCTAGAGATGACAAGGGCCTGGACAAGAAGTTGTGCAGCATGCTCCGTTAGAAAGGGCCTGATCTTGATCCCCTGCTTGTTTTCATGCCAAACTGAGCAGCTAAGCCGCAGGATGCTGAAAAGGAAGAGAACAGGAGAGAACTGTCCCA